TGGTAGCTCTATTTTCAACTGTTTGAGGAACCTCCATACTGTTTTCCAGAGTGGTTGCACCAGCTTGCATTCCCACCAACAGTGTAGGAGGTTTCTAAAAGGGATCTTTTAAAAAAAATTGGTTTTGCTTTAATACAGATCAAAGAATTTTGGAAGAATACTTCTGTCCACCTACTCCATTAAAATATTTTTAGTATTTAAAGAATATTTTCCAAAGAAAAAATGAGTATGAAATTGATATGTAGTATTTTCAGCATTTTTCTGTTGATTAGGGCTTCCAAGGACAGAAAATCATATTGTTGTTAACAATTGAATTGTTAAAATTTTTCTGTTCACAGCTTCTGAAAGAGCATGCCTCTCCTAAAGGAGAGTCTTGGCCAATAGTAGGTCAGTTTTCAAGCATTGGGTCTATGGGAGCTGATGACTCGAAATGGTTGTGTTCTGAGTTTAAAGAAAGCTTGGTGACGCTGGGGAAGGAAAGCCGGACCCCAGGGAGAAGTTCCGTTCCTCTTCATCTGGTGAGTGCCTGTCCTACCTCACTTGATCATGTTTATTCTCTACTCCCAGAGAAGCGTGAGAATCCATCCTCCCCCCATAGAGGTTTTAGTCAGTGATTCTTGCATGGAAACAGCAGTACATTAGCATCATCATGTGTGATCAAGTGGCCCTTGAATCCTCTGGTGCTGGGAATGTGCTGTTCTCTGCAGAGCTCCATTTCAGCTACATACTAACCTGTGATTTTTCCATTCCTTCTTTCAGGTTCTCAAGCCAAAGAAAAAAATGTTTGATAAGCCTTGCCAGCAGAATTATGAGCATTATTAATTAGAGACTTTTGAATTAATTAATTTTGCATTGAACTCAGTGTTAATTTGGCATTTTTAAGAGAAAAACTGAAATTGAAGTTTTTTTCATTGAATATATATGCTTCCTATAGTTGCTAGAAGTTACATTTTTTCGTAAGATGGAAAAATCTTAAAATTTAAAGTGCATGTTTTAAGTTTTTAAATGAAATATTTTTTCTTTTTTAAGATTTTATTAATTGTCAGAGAGAGAGAGCATGAGCTGGGGGTTGTGGCAGAGGGAGAGGGAGAAGCAGGCTCCCTGCTGAGCAAGGAGCCCGATGTGGTACTCGATCCCAGGATCCTGGGATCATGACCTGAGCTGAAAGCAGATGCTTAACCAACTAAGCCACCCAGGTGTCCCTAAATGAAATCTTTCTAATTGAGATTTTCATCTTAAAAACATTCTTTTTAAGAAAGTTTCTTTAACATGGTACATTTTGAGTGTTATTTTGTGTTTCTCCTTTTTTTAAAAAATTTTTTTCCTTTATTTTTAGATCTATCCTTCTGTGGAAAATGTGCGAACCAGCTTAGAAGGATATCCAGGTAATTGCTGGAGACTGTCTCAGTTGCATTTTTTGTGTGTATCTTTCATAAATGCCCTGGTAAACTTTTTAAAACAAGTAATAAAAATGCCATTCTCCTTGAGAAAAGAACTGGTTAGAAATTTGGAGAGTATTTTCCCTTAATTGGCTAAGAATCCTGGAAATAGGTAATATTGAGTAGTACTATGTCCCAAAGATGGTTCCATGCTTTTGGGCACTTTTAGTGTGTTACTGAATCCTCACAGTAACACTGTGAGGACTTGTTCTCATTTCCACAAGTAAGGTGGTCCCTTCTGCTAACAACAGGTTGGTTGTCCAGACGAGATGTCCGAATAAAACCACCTTTCCCTGCTGCGTCCTGCCTTTCCAGAGAAATTCTAACATGCCTTTCTCTGATCTCTCTCTCCATATTCTCCCTGCTTGTGTCTGTGGCTCTATGTGGTTCTTCCAATTTTGAATCACAGGTATATTTAAGGTCCATAACTTCTGCTTAATTTTGGGATGAACCTTTGGTGTTACCTAGTTGATAACTTGTCCTTTCTAAAGCACTTCATCTATAAGTGCCTAGGATGATTTTGTAGGTAACTTTTCAACTTTGTTTGCTATTTTCCTTATACAGTGCTAGACACTGAACTTTTATTTGGAATCCAGCAGCCCTCCGGATAACACATTCAGGAGGCAATAACCAAAAACCCAAGTAGGGTTTGTCTCTGGAAAAAAGAAATCTGATTGGCATTTGCTTGTGGCTGGAAGCAGAATGCTCTGAATTAGACTAATTTAGTCCATTTATTGCTTGTCAAACTAGATGTGACCCTGCCAGAAAAATCTTAGTAAGGTTTGGAGTGTAGTGTATCAGCCCATTTGTTGCTACCTAATGGCAAAGCCAAAATCATTTCACTGAGACTCAGAGACATGGTGAGGTTTTGGTTGGTTTTTGTCTTCTCCTTTCTCCACTTCTGATACACTAGATTCATTCAAAATGTGCTTTTTAATGGGGAAGAACATGGTATTTTCCACAAAACTATTTTGTAACTGGCCCTAAATATGTTTTTTAGTTATTTGTAGTAGAGGATACGACATGCCTTGTGATGACTCAGAAATTTAAAGCCCTTTTTGGATATAGATTATTTATGGAGAAGTTCTAACATGTGTTTGGAAAGTCAGTGGTGAATCTACAATAGAACTTCCTCCTTTCTAAGATGAACAAAAACTGGCTACTGATTGTGTTTCCACTTGGAACTGTATCTCTACTTTTGATGCAGGAATATGGATTTTAGCATTGCTTTTAAAAAGCAACTGTTTACTGAACTTTTTTTTTTTTTAAGATTTATATGTTTGAGAGAGACAACATGAGCAGGAGGAGCAGAGGGCGGGAGAGAGAGAGAGAGATCGAGAGAGATCTCAAGCACACTCCCCATTGAGGAGGGAGCGCAACGCAAGCCCCGATCTCATGACCCTGAGATCGTGACTGGAGCCGAAACGGAGTTAGACACTTAACCAACTGTACTACCCAACTGTACTACTCTATTCCATTTGTAAGAATGTTTAGCTAATACAAACTGCTTGGAAATAGCAGAATGTAAAGGAAGCAGGAACTGAGTTTTCATCTTAAGTCTACCTTCCCAAGTGTCCTGCTCTTGGGCAACAATGGAGATGTTCCAGACCAAAATGGGGCTAAGGATTTCTCGCCTGCGTGAGGACTGCAGGATAGGCCAGAGTTCTTCATGTAGTTTCTCAGATACTTCGAATCTGTGCTGTTATTAATGTTTAAATTACCACCCCCAAGTGATTAAATAATACCTCTTTCTTTTCAGATTGTAAACATTTACCATTTAACACGTATCCCTCAGAAAGGAAACACTGAGGGAACATACCTAATACAAGTGTAGACCTTTTCTTTCTTTTCATAAGATGTAATAGGAAGTGGTTTTGTTTTTTCAGTGTTTACTGTAGATTCTTAAGGATCCTAAAATTATTTTCTGTAATACTTGTTTTCTTCTTTTGGAAAAGCTGGGGGTTCTCTTCCCTATAGCATCCAGACAGCTGAAAAACAGAATTGGCTCCATTCCTATTTTCAGTAAGTAATTGGTTTAGAATGCTGCTATTGCTTCTTCAGGAATATGAATGTTATTTATGTCAATGTGTTCTTTTAAAAAACCTTACATAATACAGCTGTATTTTTTCATCTACGTATGTTAGTGATAGAAATAACTTAAAACCAGGTTTTGAACATTATTTGAAATAGGTTTTTAATACCAAAGGATAAAACTGATCTGTGAGGTTTGTATTTAAATATTGGCCTTCAAAGAAAAAAAAGTAAAGATGATGATGGGTAATTTAGAATTTATGTAAGGAGCATTTTAAAAAAATGTTATTTGGGTATAATTGACACACCGTCTTACCTTAGTTTCAGGTGTACGACATAGTGATTCAGCAACATTTTAGCTCATATTTCCAGATTATAATTCTTCTGTCTGCACATGTACATGCACGTACTGTATGACTGCAAGCTTGCCGTGGGTGGAGTCCACACCACTCTTTGTCCAGGACATGGGATCGTATTTGTTGTAAGGGCTCAGTAAATGGTTGAATGGGCAGGTGAAGGGATTGTCTTTCATCCTCCTCTTGTTCCGGTGGGCACACTCTGACTGTTCTAGGCCAGTGCGGTTTCCTGCTTGCTTCAGGCATGTGTTACACTTGGCGGATGGAAACAAAGGCCGATTGCATCTCAGTAGCTTGCAGGCTAATTCATTGTGTCCTTGTGGGCCCATCTGTGTGTCCCTGTAGACCCCCGTTGGGAGGTTATTCCTTACAGAGAACATTTCTTTATATTGATGGGCTCCTTTCACGAGTCATTCAAGTGAATTTAATGATTGAAGGAACAATCCACCTAATCCTAATTCTGGTCTTAGCCTTTTCTCTTTGCAAGAAAGGATTGTTGCCTCACGATGGTAGGCCCTCTCTTCCTACAGAACCTCAGTCCTGCAATACTGACAGGTAAATGTTAGCCTTGGACTGAATTGTTTCCAATTCATCCTCTTTTTTTTTTTTTTTTAAGATTTTATTTGACACAGAGAACACAAAAGCAGGGGGAGCAGCAGAGGGAGAGGGAGAAGCAGGCTCCCCGCTGAGCAGGGATCCCAGTGCAGGACTCGATCCCAGGACTCTGAGATCATGACCTGAGCTAAAGGCAGACACTCAACCCACTGAGCCACCCAGGTGCCCTGTCCTCCTGCTTTTTAACATTGTTTTAATATCCTGTTGGCATTTTTCCCCATTTTGTACTTTCTTTCAACAAACTTCCTGAGCCCGTACTTGGTAACGCACTGTGGGAGCATGATTCCTCCTTTTAAGGAGCTCATAGTCCACGTAGGAGACAAGACATGCACATATGCAGTTGAAAACACAACAGAAGTAATAGACATGAATATATACATGTCTTATTGGCAAAAAAACAAAAAAAACAAAAAAAACCCAGTAAGGCTAGATACCAAAGGATTACAGTGTTTTATCTTACTGCTTTCAAACAGTTTAATAAAATATTAGAGGTCCCATCAGAGAACTGTGTACCCACTGTTTAGATTATAGGATTTTGCTTTTCATAAAGTTTCCTAATACTAGGATTATGACAGGTTTATATTTTCTTACTGGTAATGGGTCTTTCCTGTCACTAGCAAATGGTCAGCTGACACATCTGGCCGCAGCAATGCTATGCCACATATTAAAACATATATGAGGCCCTCTCCAGACTTCAGTCAGATTGCTTGGTTCCTTGTCACAAGGTAAGTAGTCCTTATAGTCTTGGTGGGAAGAACTTTTAAAGAATGTGTTTTTAACTCCTGCTCTGAATACCGAATAGGTTTCCAAAAAATGGTTTTATAAATTGTCATTTAGTTTTCAGAGTGTGTATGTCTTCTGATCCTTATTTAAGAGGCTTATTACTTACCCCTTTCTGGTGCCTGTTATCATTTCCTGATTTTGATTATGAGGTCTGCATAAAGTTTGCATTTACTCTTGTTACTTAATACTTAAATAGTAGGAATTAGGCAAGTTAACATTCGGGGTAAATACAGAACAAAAATGATATGGTAAAATTTGTATTCCTTAATTACTTTCTCTTAGGTAATTAACATTTGACTGATCAAGTCTCTTATGTGTTTTTTTAACATCTTTATTAAATAATTAACATACTTTAAGATTCACCTATGTAGGCTGCAATTCAGTGATTTAGTATACTCACAGAATTGTGCAGCAATCACTATAATTTCAGAATTTTCATTACCCCTTAAAAGAAATGCCTTACCTACTAAGCATTCTTGTGTCTATTTTTATAGCAAGGTAGATTGCTGTGCTCTTGGGAAAAGAAAACTGGACTAGAACTTTAGTTCTAACTCCTAGTCTGCCCAAAGGCCATTAGGCATCTCTTAATGATTTAATAAGACAATTAATGTCATTAGTAATAAGGTATGACAGAGTAATTTCTTTAATGAAAAAACTTTGAAACAAAAATTTAAACTCATGAAGCAACTCTTAAAAAAGCCAATTAGAAGCAAAACCAAGTCCCTTCCCTAGCTTATGGAAATTAGTGGTAACACTTTTTACCTGGCTCAGGGTAAGGAACTGTGACCTGAATAGTGTTAGTGGTATACATCAGATGCAGCAGTGGGCTTCTGCAAAGTTTTTGAGGCACCATAGTATAATGGAAAAACATACATTTGAGTACTGAAGATTTAAGATGCTCTTCTGTCATTTACTAGCTCTGTGAACTTGCGAAATGTATTTAATCTGAGTCTGTTTCCTATTCTTTAAAATGGGAAAAGCAATGGCTGCCTTTTGGGGTTGTCTGAGTTAAATAAGATGCTCGAGGCTCCATGCATCTGACATAACAGACCGCAGGACTTGATAGCTGTGATTATGCTAGGTCAGGCTTCACTGTCAAGACTGAAGGATGGCCAGGGGAATTGGTACACATTTCTTTGCTGTGTGTCTTTAAAGAAGAGAAACTTTGGCTTCTGAAGTAGGTTTCCTGGGTGTGAAGACCTGAATTAGAGATTGCCTGGGTAGAGAAGTCATTGCCTGAGACAGATAGGTAGTGCCAGGGAGAACAGAAACCTCTAAAATGTATGTGGCCTCGTCCTTGGGCAAGTTCAATCCCTAGTTGCCTTGGTAAGTGTGAGATTGTTAATCCGTCTCCCAGTTTTCACACTTTAAGCTCTAAATTATTTTTTTTTTGAGATTTTATTTATTTGTCAGAGAGCACAAGCAGGGGGAGCGGCAGGCAGAGAGAGAAGCAGGCTCCCAGCCGAGCAGGGAACCCGATGCGGGATTCGATCCCAGGACCCTGGGATCATGACCTGAGCCGAAGGCACAGACACTTAACCAACTGAGCCACCCAGGTTCCCTAAGCTAAGTTATTTAAATATTCCTGACTTAGTGATGAGAAATGAACAATATGTTACCCAGCCTTCTACAAAGCTAACTAACAACATAAATTTGGATATATTACGGACGCTTGAACATAATCCAAAGGAATTGGATTTTCAGAGACTACATATCAGTGTCAGCTCATCTGTTCAATAATTGTCTGTTAAGCCACATTATTAAGTTGCAAGTAGTAAAAAAAGGAAACCATGTTACGAAGTTGCAGTATTAAAAGCCTGGCTTTTTATATTGCTTCTGCCCCATCGTGATGCTGTGTGTGGCATGTGACAGTCACTTCCTGCATACCCTGATGATGAGTCCGTAAGACTAGGTGAATTACCTACCTGCTTGCTATTCTAAAATGCTGCCGTTGGATATACTTGAGTAGTGGGCCATCATTCATCCCAAGGACTGAATGTGTTGTGTTTATTTACATGACTGTTATTTTGTTTTGTGTCTAATACCTTAAATTAGACATTTTTCTCAATCTGGTATGACAGAATTCTCTAACAGTGTGGGTCATGTTCTAGGGCTCTACCCAGTATATATTCATTATTTATTTATTTATTTTTTTGGAGTAGTCAAGGTTCTTCCTGCAATCATGCCACTTTGCATGAAGGTTGAATTGAACTTGAAGGCTATCCTTCCAACTTCGAGAAAAATCAGATAGGATTTTAACCAATGTAGGAAAAGCCATATAGAGAAATATATCAGTTATTTGGTAAAAGTGGTCTTGTCTAGCATCATGTTATCCTGCTGGGAAAACTGTTGCCTAGAGAAATGTAGACTTGAGTCTCTTTCTACATCATTGGACAAGTTGAATTTACTGTTTATTTGGGAATTGTTTTCCTCAGAGTAGAGTGAAAAGATGGATGTACTTCACTCAAGTTGGGTATTTACTGATCCTGTTTTAAGGGTATGAAGGGAGGTTGAGATTAACACTGAATAATCCTTGTCTAAAGGCAAAGTTTTTGTAGTTGAGTATAATGATGGCATTCGTTGAGCTCTACAAGGCAAGACGTGACCCATGCCACGCAGAGGCTGCAAGAAGAAATGGGACACTGTATACTAGTTGTTAACCTGTGTAAGAATCTGGTGAATGCACCTTTACAAATGTATTTTCTGGTTGGGGTGGGGTCAGGGTGGGTCAGAGACCAGCTAAAGCTAAGGCAATGGTATCTCAGATAGGCCCGGAAGCATGCCTAAGAGTAAACCAGATGACTGGAAGGTGACTGTAAGCAGAGGAAGGGGACGCAGAGGCCGCAGAGCTGAAAAAGTACATAGGGTTTTCAGGGAACATCTGAGTGAATCTGCAGTTAGATGAAAGAAAAGAGATTCCTATACCTTCAGAATGGACTTTCTTAAGCTAGGGCACCATTTTGTTAAGTCCAGAAAGCATTCACTGTCTATTTATTCATTTAATATTTGTTGGTTTTGTATTATGTGAATGACTGCTTTCCTATTGACTGGTTATTACTAAATTCTGACTTGGAAGTTAATTTGTTAAGAATTTGAAACTTGTCATGGATTTGTGGCTTCTAATTTTATTCTGGAATACCTAGGCTGAAAACCATCAACTTATCAGATATATAAAGATACAACAATTGGTGATTTCAACGTAACAGACACCGTTCTAAGCACTTTTTCTTCATTTAATTTTCACAACTGCCCCATGGGGACTCAGAGAATGGTTAAGTAGGCTGCCCATAGTGACATAGTAGTTAAGTTGTGGAAGCAGGATTTGAACCCAAGGAATTTGACTCCACAGCTGGCACTCTCCACCTCAACTTTCTGATGCCACTCTTAACAGCTGATAGTGTACCTATTTTCTGTGAAGACAGGTCAAAAGAAACTGCATCACTTTACTTTGATTGTGGTATGGAAAAAAAACAAAACATAGCATCCCAGTGTTAAAGAATGTCTGATATAACTGAAGCAAAAATTTAGAAAATACTTAGAGCCCACTCTCAGCCCTCTACAATAAGGAAAAATGTAGATATGAAATATAAGTGACATCTACCAGGAACTCCCATTTTTTTTGTTTCTTGGTTTGCCACCTTCTCTCAAAGTCAGAACATCCCAAACTGAGCTCTTACCTAGAAGGATATTTCCTTCCCAACATCCATTTTGGCCATGGTGGCACCTGCCCACTCCTTTATCCTCAGGCTTACAGCCCAGCTGTCCTCTTGCTATTCCTTTGAGCATTCTGCAGCATTTACTGAGGTCCTTCCTCTTGTGAATGCAGGGCACTTGGGATAAAAACATAAGCATCAGGATGCTTGGGTGGCTCAGCATCTGCCTTCAGCTCAGGTCATGATCCCAGGGTCATGGGATCGAGCCCCGCACCGGGCTCCTAGCTCGGCGGGGAGCCTACTTCTCCCTCTGCCTGCCACTTTCCCTGCTTGTGCGTGGGCGCTTGCGCGTGTTCTCTCTCTCTGTCTCTGACAAATAAAAAAAAAAATCTTAAACCAAACATAAGAATCTTTTTTTTTTTTTTTTAAATATTTTATTTATTTATTTGAGAGAGAGAATGAGAGACAGCATGAGAGGGAAGAGGGTCCGAGGGAGAAGCAGACCCCCCGCTGAGCAGGGAGCCCGATGCGGGACTCGATCCTGGGACTCCAGGATCATGACCTGAGCCGAAGGCAGTCGCCTAACCGACTGAGCCACCCAGGCGCCCCAAACATAAGAATCTTAAAGGCACTACCTAAATGTTATCTGCAATGTCAGAAGTCAAATATAGAAGTAATTAAAATAAGAAGAGATCGATTCTGTGCTTGAGGTGGGCATGTGGATGCTTTGGATAGGATAATCAAAGCCTGTTCATTCTTACAATGTCTCAGACTTTACTTTTCTGATCTCTGAAATTACCGAGTCAAATACTACCTGAACTTGTCAAGTGATTGCCTATCTGCGGTCCCATCACACACATGGTCCACTTCCCAGGCTACCTTTCCTTTCCTAGTTGTCGAAGACCATCTTTCAGAAACATGAATTTTTCTCACCGTCCCATGTTCAGTTTCCCCCCACTTCCTATATGCTAAAATCCAGAGTGCTCCTTGGCATTGTGACCCTAACCATACCATTTTCACCTTTCCTATGCTGTGTTCTCCAATGCGAACTGCCAGAAGCAGCTTCCTATGCCCCAGTTATGCCCCAGTAATCACCCTGCCAGCAGCCTTCTCCTGATGCCTTTGTCTTTTCTCGCTGCCTTTCCAAGTGCTGCCCACCTCGTAAGAGTTGTCTCAGGTCTGGTGTCCTCTTTTGGAGACTCTGCCAGCCTCCTGACTTCTTTCTCCTCCAGATCCTTAGAGCACTTATGCAGGTACCACCATTGGAGCTTGTAGCTCCTACATCATTG